AGGAAGCAGATACAGAAGAGACCTTCCATCCCTCAGCATCCATACTAATAATAAGGGGGGTTCATGGCTCTTAGAAAAGAGTTAGGCAGGGAAGTTAGTTAAGGGGTCTGCCTGCAAAGACACTAAGGTTATCCTATCCTAGAAGGGTTCTGGCCTAATCTGCCCACAATTAAGCAAGCCAGAAGGCATTTTTGGGCTAAAAGTAACTTCTACAAAGAAACAAGTAAGCAGAGCATTAGGTATCAGTTTAAGCCAGTCACCTGCACCTGCGTAATGAAGACCCAACGACCTTCAACTCATCTGAGCCTCATTGTACCATCATTATAATATGATGCATATGCCCAGAAGTTCATTAATATCATTATAACAGACTGAATTCTGGGAATGAACACGTATAGAAAGCAAACGATGAATCACTGAGTCCTGTCAATCTTAGTTGTCAATCAAAGAAGCCCATCCCTCTAAGAAAAGTAACCACCCACAGCAAATACAGATAAAAACCCCAAAGGCTTTGTTACCACGCCTTCTGAGCCATGCTTCATGCTTCTCTTGCTCAGGCTCACTTTCACATCTAGAAGTGTACTTTCCCTCCTAATAAAGCTTTCCTTTTTTTGCTGTATTTCGGTGTATTGCTCAATTCTTTGTTTGAGACATCAAGAACCTTGACAACACGCCGGGAGAGGATCCCCACTCTCTGGTAATACCCTCACATCACCACCCAGGACTTAAACCTTCCCTTTGCTAATACAACTCACCTCCTAAATATTGCATTTCCCAAACCTTAACATAACTGCCCTTCTTCCACCTCCAGCTGACTTTAGACCCCTATTCCACATGTAAATTTGGGGCAAGGGGTTGTCACCAGGAAACACTAGGGCAAACACTAGAGTAATTTAATTTTTCAGGGCTGAGCGCATAATGAGAAACTGACACAATGATAAGGAGAATGTGATGTGAGAAGAAGCTAGGAAGGAACACAGAGGACCTATGCACAGGGCTGGATGGAAAAGAGAAGGAAGTAAAAAAAAATAATAAAAAATAAAAAAGAAAGAAAAGAGAAGGAAGTAAATTTTATATCACAATATCCCAAAAGACCATGTATATTTCAAAGCTCCTCCATCTCTAGTTGCTGCTGCTAACACATCCTCTCCCTCCATGTTTCAGCCACTCAATATACTCTGGGAGCCTAGGTTCCTTCCCCTGGATCTGCTGGGCAACGTGAGTGTGGAGTCCACCCACTTACTTAGGCAGTCTCTCCATGTGTCCATTCGTTTCGAGTTTAGGTGACTCTCCCAGTATGTACCCTGGGAAGCTGCAGAGAAGCTCTCCCCTCTTCTCCTTTCCTTTTCTCCTAGGCCTAAGCTCCAAGCAATTTTTAACGTAGGACCTAGAAGTGAGCTTCAGGGGCTCTGGAAACCTCTTAATATTGCATGCATCGTGCGTGCAAGTACACACACAATTTTCTGGGTGAGGATTCACCATTTTTTCCTGTCAGATTTTCAAAGGGACCCCAAAAAGGATAAGGAACCACTGACTGGTCCTTAGCTTGTCTTGTGCGAGCTGCACAGGTGAAGAGCAAGGCAGGCTAGAGGGACTGAGATGCTCATGCAGTCATGCTGGTCAGGGCCCAGCACAGTACCTTGGAAGCAGCCATCACTGCTGCCGTGGCCGCCACATTCAAGCCTCGCTTCCCGAAGTGCACAAGGGCATCATAACTTCGGTCTTTTGCTTGAACCAGGCAATCATCAATTTCCTGTCAAAGGGAAAACAGAGGCACACTGAATTGGAAGGTTCAGATAGATGTCTGTTCTTTCTCCTTTCTCCTTTCTCCTGAGGGAGTGCTTGGCACCTTGCCTAGTCACTAGTTCTCACTGGACCTGAAGTCAGAGGCACTTTGGGTGGGAGTGTATAGATAGGAGGAGGGAAGACACACATAGGAAGTACATGGGAGTGGAAAACAGAATTTTGAAAAAACAGCAGTTTACTGACCCGGGAAGGTTTTTCTTCAAGCAGTACCTTAGGATTGTCCCTAAAGTCCTCTAGCTTTCTAGGGAGGCTCCAGGGGGTCCTGAATGTAGACAATTCTGTCATTCTACACACAGCCACTCTCCAAGACACTGAAGAAACATGCGGTGCAGAGAATTCCAAGAACTGTTTAACCTCAGACGTGCCACTAACCGGCTGTCAGACCTTGACAAGTACCTAGCCTCTACACACACTTCTGTCTTCTGAAAAATGAGGACAGTGATAGCACCTAACTGGTGGAGCACAGTGAGGGTTACATGAGGTCACTCTACTAAAGCATCTGACACTGTGGCTGGTTTCGATAAATGAGAACCAATGTCATCTTCCTTATCTCCAAGGGGTTGGGCTCTTACAGCTCTAAAATTGTATTATTGTATAGCTATTTTATACTATATCCAAATATCTCCCCCTGTGTATAACTATGGGCGGGATTAGGACACAGAGATAGGTGTTATTTTTCTTGATAAGGGAGATCATTTTGCAGATAATGAAATAAAGGCAGATATCAGAAGTCATCCAGCATCATACCACAAGGTAAAGAGAAGGTGGGAAAGATGACTGAAGTCACCTTCAGAGAACAAAACCAAGTAAAATATCAATTAGTTCACACTTGGATCAACTCTGGCTTATTCTTTTTGTTTGTTTTAGATTGTTTTGTTATATATAACAGCTGTTGTATACTCATAGTAGCTCATTTCAGAGTTAAGTAAGACAATGACATTTGGCCTCAGTCTCCTTTGAAGTACACTCAAAACATTAGTGTACTTCCTTTGCTGTGAGGTTCACAGGTGAGATAGTCAACGCCTGCTCATTCCTTGTTGAAGCTTCTCCAGGAAGTCATCACAGTAAGTTATCGCCATGACCCCTGACTGACTCTGGAAGCAATTCTTGGCGGCTCTTTAAGGTCAGTCACCTCACTTCAATGGAAATTACAGTGGCAGCTTCAAGATAAAGCTAGCCTTTGGGGAAAGGAAGGTAGGAAAAACAGGAATTTGATAACCAGGTCAAGAGAGGGATCACCATTCCTCAAAACCTACCCTTTCAAGACAGGAAGTGCTGTGTCCTAGCTCCTAAAAGGATTCTCAGAAATGACTATAGCAGTCTGCTCATCCAACTAATATGTTCCCCAAAACTCTCTCATAGAAGTCCAAAGTATTCAACTTTCAGAAATAATACAAATTAACATACAAAGCCACCTACACGGCTCCTGTTTTATGTTAAAGAATCCTATCACATAATCAGTTTAGAAAGTCATATAATATATTAATGAATTATACAATTTAGAACCGATAATGCCACAGGAATTTATTCTAAGATAATAAGTCAAAAGAGGGAACTAAAACCCATTCATGGTGGTGCTCATGGATCATTATGAAGATCATGTAAAAATTAATTTTGTGCAAACATGTTTATGATTTCAGAATATAAATACTGTATCTATGTTGAGTTGTTTTTTGATATTTGAGACTTTTGGTGCACTTCAAATTTAATTTTAAAGAAAAGTTACAGAGACTGGTATGCTTTGAAAAGAAGTTATAAAACAAATTAATAAGACAGCGGTAATATTTATTTTAATGGATTTTGCATTCATTACTGTATGAAATCTTTAAAAAAATAGAACAATCCATTAAAAGCAAATTTGCCAGACTAGGTTCAATGGAGATGTTAAAAAATAACAATATAGATAGAGATGTTATAAGTACTTTGGAATTAAATTTTTTTCAAGAGATATAAGTTGTAATTTTTACTTGAATTCTTGGTTATTTTTGATCCTTCCCTGCAATTTCTCCTTGTCTTATTTTTTCCATCTCTGACATTAGATGAATCTACATTTTCATTTTAAAGATGTTTGTGAAGTACTTTGAAGCAAAATAAACACAAAAGATAAATAGCGTGAAACAAATTATTATGACTATTCTCATTAATACTTACCAACTGGTAATTACCAAAATAACAGGTATTTTGTTGGTAGAATACATTTTATCATTGAACAATAAAGCAAACATTGTACTAGCAATTTATTATATTTCAGTCTTTGTAACTATCTGGGTACAAGTCATTTAATCTCTCTGTGCTTCAGCTTTCCTATCTATGTTAAGTTTTAAAAGTGTTTTTTAATAGTCTCTGTAAAAATCATATCTGCAAAAGGTCAGGGGCTGAGCATGATAAAAGGAAGGAGATTCAGTTTGAGAAGTTGAATTATGAGTGAATCTTTTCTGTTGTTTCAGTTTATGGAAATGTTTTACAATAAATAATGACAAATAACATCTTTTTGAGAACTTCACAACTATTCCCAAACATGTCAGAAAAATAGACTTAAACAAAAAGATTAGAAGGAAGAACCTGTTGGGGCCAAATTAAGAGCCAATGAAAGGTCTCCTGCAATAAAATAATTGCCCTTTTTATTTATCATTTTTAAATTTTTTCACTCACTGGAAGGAGTGAAAATCTGAGCAGCATAAATTACCTTTTCTTTTGAAGACAGCGTGGGATGTACAAACTTCCTGTATAGGAGGCTGGAGCCTTTTGTGTAGGGAGATAGCAGCCAGGCTACAAACGCTATTTTTAGTTCATAATAGAATGGAAACCTGGAGAGAGATGAGAAATACACATTCCTGTTAGGGTCTTGGCAATACTGCCCTGGGCCTGTGAAGGACAAGATCTGGCACATGGATGCGAGACCCCCCAGATTCCTCCTTTTCCCACCCATGAAGGTACATGCACATGTTGCAGACACAAGGTCCATGTGTTTGGCGCATGAAATATTTAATATATCAGAATTTGGAATGAAGAAAGGTTTATTGAAATGGCACTGCAACAAGAAGATTGGAGCTTTCTAGTTTTCTCGAATCCATCTTAAGCATGCCCCAAGTTCCAGCACCCTATATATCCAAGGAAGAGGGTGGGGGATCTCCAAATCTCTTTGTCTCCAGTCAGACCAGAAATTACTCAAGTCTCAGGCAGAATTCCTCCAGCCGATTAGCATATCTACAGAAATGCAGGCTGGAATTAAGGTAGCGTCAGGGAGAGAAGTATTGCACTATGACATACACACACACAGCTCAAGCCCAAGGCCTGTTTTGAAAACTGGTTCATGTTTTCTTTTGTTGCCAGAGCAAACTGGGAACCCAGGTTCCTTCCAGCAATCACCCTCCAGCTGTGACTGGCAGTAGCTGGCACTTCCTGCTGGGCTCCACTCATTGAGGTTGGAGCAGATGACCCAGCCCCAGCCTTCGGTATCCAGTCAGTCATTCACTCTTCACTGGCGGCCAAGGAGGGACAAACACTCAGATGATTTGCAACAAGGCAGAACAGATAAAGAAACTCCTTACTGAGAAAAAAAGCCTGCCCTTCTTGGCAGTTTTCTCAGCCCTAAAAGAGGTAGGGACAGGAACCGAGGTCTTGCCAGGAGAGGGAATGTTATTTACCCCGTTCAAGTTAATGGCAGGTGCCTAAAGGAAGAAGAGTTCTGGGCACGTCAAAATACAATTCTGGGGTTAGAGGTCCTGGATACTGTTTATTTATTCACTCCATAATGTATCCGGTACCTACACGTGGCAGCTTGTGCTGAAGTGACAATGGTGAGCAAAGAAGACCTGCTCTTTGCGCACTCAGAGCTCCCAGTCTAGGGGAAAAAACAGACAAGAGTCTAACATCATTGGAAGTGATCCTGCCTGGGGCGGTTGTAGTCTCCCCACCATTCCAATACTATGCCTCTTCACAGTCTAGTCTGGGAAACAGAGATCAAGTAAATAATCACAAATACAGAATAGCAATCTGAGGCAAGTGCCATAAAAGGCCTCTGCCAACTCCTGTGGCAACTTTGTACGCAACAGAAAAGGCCAGCCCCTTCTGGATGCAGTCCTGCAAGCACACGGATTACTAACAGGGCTTCATCTGAATTTCAGGACCACTATTCTCTTTGGCCAGATATCTTGTGCTATGAACAACCTGTGCAACCATATTTGGCTGTCTTGATGTCTATTAACCATATCTTTTTATTTTCTCTATTCTGATGCTTTGACATCTTGGGGCCTTGCTGACTCTGAAGATACTTCCCAGGATTAGTCAATTCCTAAAGATAGTAAACAACTCACCTGCAAGTGTTCCTTTCATATGCAAACCAACTAATCCAGAGCCCATACCCTGAGACCAGCTCCTTTATTGGGCTCTCACACTCTGGGTCACTACCCATCTGCCCTAATTACCCCAGGGAAGGGAACCAGACAGCCAACCCTAAAACTGCTTACCCTGCCTTGCCTGTTCCTTCCACGTAAACCACAGTATAGGCTCCTCCCCACATTTCCTACCTCTGCCTCCTGTGTAGCATGCTGTGTGTCTTCCTAGGGATCTGTGAGTATAACAAACTGCTTCCTTTACGACAGTCATTTCCATGTCTGTGTGTCTTATTACACCTGATTAAAACAAATCCTGGGTTCCCTAAAACATGATGCTAGTTTGGGAAATCAGAAAGGTAAATTCCTTCCAGGCATTCTCTCAGATAAGGGAGCCAAAAAAATAAAGAGCAATTTCTAGCGAGTCATTTCAGAGCTCTCTAACTCTCACACAGACCTGAAATCTGCAGCTCCGCCCACTCCTTTCCTCATAGAAGTCTCCTGATACCTTGCCTTCAAAAGCTAAATAAAAAAAAACAAACAAAGACGAATGGAAAAAAAAATTCTAAATGTCCAAAACACATACAAAGAGTCTCCTTGCCATCTCAGACCTGTAGTCCCTTTTCCAAAAGCAAAAACATCATAAGTTTCTTGGGTATTCTTCCAGAAGTAGACTGGGGCTAAGAAATACAATCACGTGGGTATCTATGATTCTCTTAACTCCCCAAACACACAGTCACTTTCCAAACTCCCCTCCTATACCTTACTTCCCACCCACCGCCCCCCCCCCCCAATTAAAAGGGTACTCTGGGGATTATTTCAAGATAACTCTAATTATCACACCAGGTCCGGGCCCTTGTCAGGGATCGTAAGGGTGCCCAGGTTGGGCCACTCAGATACTGTGTTTCCCAGAGGCCTTGAGGGCTCTACCAATAAAATCACCACCAACTAAGCCTGCTTACAGCCATCCTACCAACACCATTCCCAGCCTTCACCCAAGAAAGGACCCTGCTTATTCTGAGAGGATACACCCTTGAATGGTCCTGACCTCTAGGATGCGTTTGAAGAGAAAAGGCCAGATTCACCCACCACATTTCCTCCAAATGCACAGCACTGGGCTGCCTGGGGCAGCTGTAGTCCCCCTGACATCCCAGTACAACCCCTGCTTCATACTCCAGAGGGGTGAATATTTTCTAAGGGGGTTGGTCAACTGATGAAACTGTCAAAAATACAGGCAATTAATGTGTACAGAAAATTTTTGGAAGAAAACACAAGTAACTTTTAACAGTGCTACCTCTGGGCGAGGGGGTAAAGACTAGGAGAAGAGAGACTTACTTTTTAGTGTGTCTCAATTTTATTCTGCCATATGCATGTAGTATTTTATAATTTTTAAAAAACTAAATGAAATCACTTACACAAATTGTGAAACAAGCCACCATGCTAAAATTACTGTTTTCATCAAGATAGAAAGTTGTTAAAAAGTTAACTATGAAGCGGGTACTGCCCTAAGGGAGAGGTGGGAAGAGGGAAACGGGCGCAGGGGAAGAGCGAGGAAGAATACAACATGAGGAACGAGCTCCAGTCCTGGAAGTGAACAGAAGTTAAAGATGCTTCTGGGAAGCCAAGGGTCCATTTTAGGACAGAAGCTTTCCTTTTTTATCTTAAAGAGAGTACACAGCTGCTAGGCTGGTGTCCATATTTCTGGAAGGGACACAGGGCTCTGCCTATCCTGTGCCTACTCCCAGGATCAGAGGGAAAAGGGAGAGGGAGGATTCTCCCAGAAAAGGCTATGATCTGTAATACTGCAGGTTAGCACAAAAAGAGAAAGCAGGCTGAGGTCATGACCAGGCTGCGGGCTAAAGCAGGCAGGAAAGGTTCCCATGATTACCTTCCCTGAAGAAGTGGAGCTCAGGGCACCAGAAGAGGGGCAAGGGGCCCTCATTTCCCACCCAGAAACTGCTTGGACAGCTCCAGCTAAGAGGAACCCGATGAAGCCACTATGTGGATCAGGAAGAGAGGGTCATTCTACCCATACATGCACGCATGCTCCAAATACACCAGGTATCAAATGCCCTCCTATGGTAGGCAGAATTTTTGTCCCATGACCTTCTCATTCCGGTGTTACTCCCATAAATATGTTCTCTTAATACGGAAAAGGGGATTTTATAGATGTAATTAAGATTATTATCGGCTGCCTTTAAGATAGGGAGATTATATTAGATTATTGCGGTAGACCTAATCTAATCGCATGATCCCTTAAAAGCGAAAACAAAAGACAGACATTCTAAACATGAAAAGAATTCCATATGTCACTGTTGGCATGAAGGTAAAGGGGGTGGCATATATCAGAGAAATGGGGACCTCAATCTTACAGCCATAATGAACTGAATTCCGCCAACCACATGAATGAGCCTGGAAGTGTACTCTCCCCCGGAGCCTGCAGATAAGAGCCTAGGCTGGTCCACACATTGGTTTTGGCTTTGTGAAGTCCTGAGCAGAGGACTCAGTTGGTTCTACCTGGACTTGTGACTCAGAGAAATTGTGAAATAATAAATGTCTGTTGTTTTAAGCTGCTAAATTTGTGGCAACTTGTTACAGCAGTAATAGAGAACTAGTACACCTCCCCAAATCAAAATCAAATTAAGTCTGAAAATGGTTTTTGAGCATTTATTAGGTACAAAACTCTAAAATTTCAAGGACATAGATAAGGACATATTGCAGCTACCAGGGAGGGGCATACCCACCACCAGACGGGGTTTCCATTTAGCCAAAAGCGGCAAAGCTGGAACGCCTATATACCTGGGAAAGAGCTCATAAGACTAATGCAATCCCCACTGGTGTTCATGAAAAAAGACAAGAGGACAGCAGGAGGCTGCCCAGCACCAGACAGAGGATATTGCTAAAAGGGAAAACTGGAGGACATGAGCCGTCCATGCTGTTAAATCTATTGCATAGTCCTCACTAGCCCTGGCCTGTTACCCTCATCTGCACAGGAAAGACAGGGGCCTCCCTGGTGGAGGTCTGTATCAAATGGGGCTTGACTCTTAGTGTCACCCCCTGAGGCCTGGGAAAGACAAAGAATGGCTCAGCAGAGATCCTTCTCTGCTCCTGGAGACTCAGCCCGTTCTGAGTCAGTTGTTGATCGGGCGTAGGGCAATGCAGGATGACACAAGCATATTAAATTGGATAATCCAGATTCCTCCCCTATAGTTCGAGGCCACAATGGCTGAGACATCTACTTCTCCCAGTGGAGATGAAAAGCCAAGCTCCTTTGGCAAACAAAACAAAACGAAACAAAACATACTAAAGCCATTAAGGCCACTGACCCAAACAGGATGCAGAGAAGTGGTGTTTAGGTCTGGCCGTTGGCCTGGGACAGCCTGGATAGAAAGTTCATACTGACTCTTTTTCGGTAAGGACTTCTTCCTCCAAAATGGAAATATCTATTATTTTTTTCTGATGTTATTCAATCATGGTAAAACATTCATATAACATAGCAAATGTTAAACCAATCCCAAGATTTGAACCATGGTACAGTTGTGGAAATAACCCTGGTTAACAGATAGATATTTTCCACACTACTTTTAGTACATTTACATGTGCACGGACAAACTCAATTCCTTGAAATAGAAGCAGGATATTATGTACTATTCACAGTCTCTTTCACCTAAGAAATAATATACAATACATAGAACTAGCTTATGATTTTTACTTGCTCCACTGCTGTAATAGCTTCATTGTTTATAAGAAAAAAATTATCTGTCAAAAGGGGATTGATTAAGTAAATTGTGGTCCATCTATATCATGAAATTCTATGTGGCCATTTAAAAATAGATCTATTTATGCATATATATATACACACACACACATACATATTGAATGCTTCTTTACCAACTCCTTTAATCAAGGAATCGTGTTTATCGTGTCCACCATTGTACCATTATAAGAACAAAGCCTGGTCTTACAAGGTCATTCAATAAATATTTAGGTGAAGAATAACTTTATAGACTAATTTATTAAAAATATGCCTGTTAACATCCCTGTACCTGCCTCTCTTTTCTGAAGTAAGGTTTGAGACTGCTTTTACACTTTTCCCACCTCTCCCCAGACACTAGGCAGTATCTTCTCTTGAAAAGTCCCAATTTTTGAAGTACTTACCAACAAAGGAAGATGTCGGTGAATGTCTCTGCTGTGGTGAAAAGTGCAAATATAATCCAGTACATCATCCATTTGACCTGTTGAACAAAAAAGCCACAAAGCTGGAAGAGAAGGTCAAGAATAAATGGCTGCCCAACATTAAGAAGAAAAGGCTTAGACAGTGGATGCTCAGGCATGTCCAGGCAGTATATCCCGCAACATTTGTAACTCCTCCCTATCCTTCCCCAGCTCATGTCTAGTTCCATTCTAGACCTAGGGGCTGGAGGCAAACAGGCTGTTTCCACAACTTGCCCAGGCTCAAGGTCAATGTAGACCCTAGGTGACCTTCAATAGCCCTCAGGTGAGCCAGGGAGACCTGCAGACCAGGAGTGACTGAGGATGCAGTCAGGCCATTTTTCCAAGACTAATACCAGGTGAGGAAACTCTCCAAGTCTTCATACCCTGGAATGAACTTTAACAAGAATAGACTCTCTGGGATGGAACGGTGGTAATTCTACTGGCCACCTAAGAATATTTTCTGTGGGAAAGCCCCACAGCCTCTTGCAAAAATTAGACCTTTTAAAAAAATCTGTCCTACATGACCATCCATTTCCATTTCCACTGCCTCTCTTCCAGAGTTGAGGCCTTGGTCTCCTCTCTTCTGAACTACTGCAAGAGTGTCTCCTAACTGCTTCCCTTACCTCTTGGTTTTCCTCTCACCAACCCATGCTATAAATCATCTTCATACTAATTTTCTAAAAGCATGAACTCATCAGACCACTCTTAAATTTAAAATCTTCCAACCTGCAGAATAAAGTTCAAATTCCTTAGTCTTCTCCTCGTTTCTGCTAATGGTGGGGTAGTTTGTATTGGACTAACCCTCCTGATAATAATGATAATAAATCCTGAACAAAATATTTTAAAACAACTGTTCAAAGGCACTAGAAAGCCATCAAAAGCTGACAGAAAATGAAAGGGATTCAACTCTTGAAATAAAGGAACCATACCAGGATAGAGCTATGCTGATGTGTCTGGGATACTCCCCAACCTGCAATCGTGGGGCAGACAGAACTCAAAAAGAAATTCACAGTATTATTTTGCTGAGGAATTAAAGAATGGCATTTGACACTGCTGGAGAGATGCTGAAAATTGAGAAGGAAAAATTCCACAAAGAATGAAGCCATAAGGAGGCAGGCCCCCAAATCCACATATAAATTCCCTTCAAATCCTTGGCTGGTCCCTGAATTGCAAAGAATCAGGTAGTAGTACTCCAAAATGGCTGAGTAAAAAAAAAATAAAAAGCTGGAAAGCTGAAAGAGTTAAGCAGAGATTCAGTTTCTTCCCCCTGTAGGAGCAACGGTTTGGAGTTCAAGCCCCATTAAGTTAGAGGAGCTTGGAAATTTCCACTAAAACATCTCAAAGGCCATACCTTAGGAATAAAAATTACATCTAAGATATTAGCTATAGGACTAAGGGCAAAACTGAAATACACCTGCCCCTACAAAATGTAAAACCTACCTACCACGATGTCAAGATGAATTTAACTACCTGGTAGAACAAAATTTAACATTCTTTACAAGAAGGCAACATAAATCCAGAGTTTCAGTAAACAATTTAAAAAGTACACATATGAAGGAATAGGAAAATATAATTCATCATCAAGAGAAAAATTGGTTAATAGAGACAGAGCCACAGATGACCTAGATGTTAGAATTAATGCACAAGGACCTTAAAAAGTATCTGTTTTGAGACAATTGGATATCCATATGTGAATAAAGTCAGACTTATACCTCACACCATATACAAAAACTTACTCAAAACGGATTGGAAACCTAAATGTAAGAACTCTTACCAAGAAAATATGACTGATTTTTTGTGATTTTGGATTAGGCAATAGTTTCTTAGATATGGCACCAAAAGCACAAGCGACAAAAGAAAAAATAGATAAATTAGACTTTGTCAAAATTTAAAACTTTTTTATTTCAAAGAACACCAACAAGAATGTCAAAAGTTGGCTTCCACCATCTTTCCAG